ATATCCTCAAATGGACCCTTTCCTCTGTTGTTGTTGTCATTGTTTTTAATTTATAGCTTGTCTGAATCTTTAAATGAAAAGAGAAAGAAAAGGAAAATTAGAAGCATCTTTTTTTCTTAACTCTCTCAGATAACCCACACATCTCAAGATCCACTGCATCTGAAATCCTTACTAACAATATATTTTCCAGAAGATTCTGCAACTTGTATGGGCAACTAATTGTAGGATTACATTTCGTTGTTATTTATCATTTCTGTTCTAAAATGTTCAGGATTTATATCTTTTATGTTACATCTCTTATGTTCATGGTTTCTGTCCTTTTACTTTCTTACCCTTCTCGCCCTCTCCCTCCCTTCCTTCCTCAATTGTTTCGTGACTTCCTGTCTGTGCCAAGCGGGAAAACAGGGCAGCAGGTTTCAGCGACAGAGAAAGAAGTCTGTGCCTTCAAGGAGCTGTCTGGTCAGGGATACAGACATAGAGAAAATATCGGGCAAAGCCAGGAGTGCAGGTTGAATGGGTGTACAGCGTAACACATGGTCGGGAAGAGAGCACAACCAACTCGGCCTAGCGATGGGCGAAGTAATCATAAAAGTGGTCACTCAATCTCAGCACGCAGGGCAGCAGGGGTTCTGGAAGACAGCGAGGCCCGCACATGTAGAGTGTGAGAAAGAGCTGGTGGCTCAAGGGCCCTGAGGGGCTCTTGTTGGTGAGATTGCACCTGAATGAGGGTTATAGGAGTGAGCAAGTCTAGAGGAGCACTTCTCAGGCTATGTTGTCCAGAACACCATGCCCAGAGTGATACATTTGTGTTATTAAAAAGTGGACTTTTCATCAAATGAGCTTTGGAAAATAGGTTGCTTTTTATTTTAAGTTTCTCTGGGCTTCTTAGAGCAGGCAATATGCTGATGTGCATTGCACATATTGTAGAAGAGTAAAAATGAAGGAAAATATACAGAGAAAATAAAATTTGCCAATAACCCCACACCCAGAGAGAACCACTGTTAGTGTTTTGGTCTAGTACCTTTTGGGCTTTGTGTTCCTCTGGATTTTTCCCCGTGTGAGTCTCCCTCTCTTCCCTGAATCAGGGCACAGGTGCCTCACAGTCTTAATTTGTACATTCAATGTAAAAGTTTTTACTGAGTTCCCATCACGTGTGAAATGGAGTGGTGGATGCTGACAATATGACGATGAATCATACATGTTCTCCCCTTGAAGGAGCTCCTTCTTAACATCCATTGGCATATTCAGTTTTTATGTAAAAATTCGATACTGCTGTTCGTACTGCTCAGTGACATGTTTTACTCACTTATTAACAGTGGGTATAGCTAATCATACTATTCACTTGCATCCTTTTCTTGCTTAACAATATAAATATCTTTATCAATAAATGTAGATCTAGTACATTACCATTGAAAAAGACTGCATCATATTCTATTGTGCGACTGTACCAGGGTTCATTTAATAAATCTGTCAGCCTGTTTTCAATTTTTTTTTTTATTAAAGCAATATTATGATGAGCACTCTCAATGAGGGCTGTAGTTTTCCTAGTGATGTGAACAGAATTGTGTTTATGGTGATAAAGCTTGTGACAGGGGCCTGGAAGAATTAGACTAAGGACGAGAGTCCACTTAGGACACTGTCACAAGAGGAGAGAGTGACAACATCTACCAGGAAATCAACCGATAGCCATGAAAAGACAGACAGATATGAGAGACCTTTGATAGAGGAACAAAGCAGCTGATTGGAAGTGGTGAGGAAGAAGAAATGGTAAAACAAAGAAAACTGTGGTTTTTAATCAACAGATGAGGTGTGTTGATAATTAACTCACGACTAAGTCAAGAAATAAATAGTGCTTAGATGTGGGGATTTGAAAGACTTTGGGAAGCTAGAAATAGGCTGCAATCTTAGCCTTGGGATAAAGTTAGAATTCGTATTATCAACATATAAAACAGAGAGAAATTTGTGAGAACAAAGGGGATCTCTTAACAGAAAAATTTATATAATAATTAAGAGAGTTGAGTATAGAATTCTAGAGAAAGGAAAATTTAATGTGGACAGAGAGAGAGGAGCCTATGAAAACCTTGAGAAGTTGTAAGCTCTTCTTGACCAAGAGATTTGCAACCAAAGGATTAACTCTGATTTCAAGATTTAAAAGGCCTCATGGAAGAGATGGAAAATAAACTATACTTTAATTAGGCTCTGCTATTTAGCAAAAACGGATCTAATTTATTAAAAAAATCTATTTGGAATTTACCTAGATTAAAACTGAGTTTTATGTTTCTGTAATTTTTATTAGATAGGGAAGAAAGTTTATCTAAATAAATGAATAACATAAACAAATTTACAGAGAATTTTTGAACTATTTGTCATCATAAAACTTTAAAAAATGCAGCTAGTCAAGGATGTGTTTTTATTAGAATGGCCTAATAAGATCTTTGAATATTTATCTTAAGTCAGGAAATAAATACTTTCATTTAGCACCATTTCTATCTTTGACGTTTTACTATTTGTTCCTATAGTCAGGACATTAATAACGATGGGGCTTATGAAGTACAAATGCATAGTTTCAAAAATGAAGAAATTAATATCCAGAGTGGTTAAGCTTGGCTAAGGTCATGTGGCTTGTTCCTGGAAGAGAAGAGGATAGGAGATTTCACATAATAACACTCTACTAAATAATCTTTTAATTCATAATTTCTTTTCATTTATTTCACATACATTTATCAAAATTTGGAAATTTATTTTAATTGGTGTATTTTATAAGCAGTTTTGACTTATATATGAGAAATATTCTAACATAGATCAATACAGATATTTAAGACATAGATATATAAGGCATGCTATATTATATGTGCAAAATATGTATTTACCCCCTCACATTTCTACTTTGACTCTTTCTTATTGTCCCTGAGACAGTGACCAAGAGATGGGCAGGGGAACTGGTCCGATTTGCCCCTAGGAACAGAGTGGTCATGAGCAGGAGGAGAGGAGCCCACTGCTAACTCCAGTTATTCCCTCCAGCTGCAGAAGTTTACTGAAGCCAGCTTCAGGGGTCAGGTCTCTACGTTGGCCACCCACTATAAATTGGCCTCAATTTGAATTTTTTTCAAATCAAAGAATTCATTCTCTCTTATTCTCAATGTTTTCTTCTGTTAAACTTCAATATTAAGTAATTGATCTTTAGGATCATCAAAGAAATGAAATGCAAATGTAAAATCCCCCACTGTGCCACAGTAGGGGCATAATTAATGTTAACTGCTGAGGTTACTGCTGTTACTCTGTGTCCTTTCTCCTGGAGGGGCAATAAAAATCGCAGCTTCTTTTCCATCCTCTTGTTACAAAATGCTGCTTAGAATTGCGTTATTCCCTTGAGTTTCACTTCAAAAAACCCCAAGTTATTTAACTAAATCATTTAATTGTTTAGATTGACAAGAATGAATTATGTAACCATGTAGGATTTTAAAATGCAGCCATTTTTAAACATGTATTTTGTTAATGCCAGTTCTTAGAATGTGTATATGTACTTCAAGAAGGTGGTGGTTCACGTTTCACATTTTCTAATTTCCAAGACGCTATGTGTTATTTAACTAGTTTTTTAAAATAAGAAGTAAACGGAAGAATTAAGTGAAAAACTAGACATGAAGATACTTAAGTAGCAAAATAACTTGAATTCTCGTATCACTTTGGAAGTGAATTTATTTTTCTGTGTGTGAAATAAGAGAAACAGCATTTCAACATTAGTTGAAAGATAATTGAAAAATTAATTATGTTTGTTTTGGTTCCTGGGCGCTGGAGCACAGTAATGCTAGGAGAGAGACTAAATCCTTTGCCTTTTCATCCATCTGCAGCACTGCCTCCAAAGGGAGCATATGACTTTTATTGGAAGGATAGAATTATTCATATATTTCTGGTTGTTCTTATTCTGGCATTCTAATGTAGCCCATGCTTTTTTGATATATGTTCTATTGCATAAATACATTTGAATTCGTATACATTTGTATAAGAAAAGTCTTCCAATGGAACAGGTTATATTGTTCGTAAGAAAACTGATTGGGTAGTACTTACCTCATATTGGTTCATGTTTTTCACTAAACCCTAACATAAATATATTCCAGCACAGTCAAGTAAATTCCGGTAAAATCAATCTAATTTTCTCAGAAATATCTTCATTGAAATCAGAAATTATCTTCACTTGAGAAAATTATAATTCTTATATCATTGAAATATATTTCTGAAAATTCACCTAAACTTAATTTTACAGAAATAGTGGCGACACCATGACAAACTATTTACAATGATCTCGAAATGTCTTAACGTGAAATTCTATGAAATTTAAATGTCAAAAAATATTAAAAGTCCAAAAGAGAAGAATACAGTGGATTGTCAGTGTGGCATTGCAGTCAATTCCTCCATTCCATTTCCACTAGGGAGAAAGCAAACCCTAAACATTAGCAATTTGGCAAGTTTCTAAACCAGAGTCAAAACTTCTGATTTGTATCAAAGGTTGTCCTTTCTCCTTTCCTGCTACTCGTGTTTAGTGTGTCTGCTACGTCTACAGTCTACAATGCCTCTTACCCCCTCTTACGGCATCCTTGGGTAAGCGGCAACAACAGAGGACGCGGAAGACTGAAAGGGGAATCCTACCCTCAGCAAGCGCGACCTCTCTTCCATGAAAGGCAGATATTAAAGACCCAGTTAATGGCTGAGAATGGCAAGTCAATGAGTAGATTGTTCTTATGTTGGCCATTCAGGTCCAATTTAATGCTTTATTTATTTTGCTAATGTTTGAAGACCTGATTTGAGGGAGTTCTGTGAAAACAATTCAGAATATTCTAAGGGAGAATATGTGCCATTTATTCCCAAGGTCTCTATAATTTTATTCATCTGAATTGTCCACATTTCTTCAACCAGCAGAAATTGTTTCCTTATGATTTTCTGTGTTTGAATATGCTTTACCAGTTTATACTAACCTTGAAAAATTTTCTTTTTCCCATTTCAAGTTCCACCCAATCTGACTGTTCCACAGGAAAAATCACCTTTGGTCACCAGAGAAGGAGATACAATAGAACTGCAATGTCAAGTAACTGGAAAACCTAAACCCATCATCCTTTGGTCTAGAGCGGATAAGGAAGTCGCAATGCCTGATGGGTCAATGCAAATGGAGAGTTATGACGGAACACTGAGGATCGTGAATGTGTCTAGGGAGATGTCAGGAATGTACAGATGTCAGACCAGCCAGTACAATGGATTTAATGTGAAACCAAGAGAAGCCTTGGTGCAGCTCATCGTGCAGTGTAAGTACATTTTTTTCTTTGTGTTTCTTGTGGGGGACCAGGGAAGAAATGATACCACTATTCTACCAGTAAAATGAGGTGACTTTTGGAATTGGATTAGGATAAAATATTTCTACATTATTGCTACCCAATTTAAACTATAATTTTCCCTAAATCTGCTTATTACTTGAACTAATGCCCAGCAGTAGAAAAGAATTCTATTAGTGTGTGTGTGATGATTATGATGGTGTTGGGTGGTTAGTTAATGCCAAAGAATCAACAAACCTAATGGTTAAAAACTGGCCGTGTGCAATGAAGCAGAGTGGAAACTGGAAGTAACTGCTCATTCAGATTATAATACTCTTTTGTTTTCACAGTTCCTGTTTCTACTTCAGGCAATTGTGTGCCCTTTGTCCAAATTATCCACCTATTTTAAGGCATCCCTTTGCTTAAATTGTGAAGACTTGATCATTGAAATCTATGTTTGCGTATCTGAGGTTGCAATAGTAGATTGCTTAATTATCTACTAATATTGAGATAATTCAGGCAGGTATTAGGTGCTGAATTTTCACTTGACTTTCTCAAGAGATAACTGTTTCACTGTGAGGATTGAATGTGAAAGATTTTTAAGTATTTTTATTGAAATCAGTTACAATTCTAACAAAAAGAATTGTAGACATCATGTGCTTTGTATTTGCGTTCAGTATTAAGACTACCTAAATTCATAAATCTGAGAAGAAGTTTGATGATGTCGCTGGTGTTGGGTTATTAGAGGATGCCTTGGTAATTCGGATGGCAGGTGGTGCGAACATTGCTGAAAGAGGAGAAGCAAACTAAACAAGATCTGTTCAAACTCCAGTAGTGCTGGTGTGAATGTTAATTGATATACTCTCTGTTAAATACAAGGTGGCAAAGTCTTGAAACAAATGAATGAGTTAGATGAAACTATACACTTCAATAAGCAATGTTGTTGTTTTCTTTCTGTGGTTCTTCTGTAACTCAGAAAATGGAAAATAGAATTTATTCCATAAATGTCTATTTTTATATTAGACTTAAGGATGTTGGCAGATAGAATTATCTGACTTTAAATTTGAAAGAATAATTGAGATATGGAAGGATTACGTTTGTGACTGATAACAACAAATGCATTTCTGTGTAAGGTGTGTTGGGAAGGGGGACAAGAGCAAGGTTCTGGATGCTACTCAACCTTTCTCCGTCCCTCTTCTAAGGAAACTCAATTCCAGTATGCTATTTGTCCTATAAATGTACAAACTGATATTTGTCAAATACTTTGCCTGATTTCCGATTGATTACTAGTTTTTTCTCCAAATAACGCAACTTTTAGATAGCAAGTTCAATTCAGACCTTCAGTATTGCTTTTTTCCTTGCTGGCCTTTATACACATGACAGAAAGTTCATAGGTGGGAGGTTCATGTGAAAACAGGTTTCAGAAAGAAAAAAGAATAAGAGAAACCTCTCCTTATTTCTCCAAAAAAAAAGAAACACCTTCAAGTGACCACAGAGGAAGTTGAAAGGATTATGAGCACTCCTTGTTGGTGATCACAGGATTCTGTGCTTCCTCCGGAGTCTGCCCAAGCTTCAGTGTCCCCAAGGCTCTTAGGGCAATTAGTTTTCACTCTGCTCACACCTCTCCAGGAAGCTGCGATACAAAGGAAAGCTGTGGAACCCAGTGGCGCTAGGGAATTTTCAAGAACCAGGATTTCCAATCTCCATAGAATATACTAACCTCCAGAATTCTATTGAGGAGTTTTTTTTTTTTTTATTTGCTCCTTAATAAGTCCCATAGGAAGTGTTAAATTCAGCACAAGATTTTAAGATTCAAAAATAGTGGATGAAAATAACTACTGGCACAATTGTCTCTAGTGTCACAGGATGTAATTGACTAAAAAGACACCATAGATATAAGCAAAGTCTAGTTCATTTAATGTATGTAAAAAAGATCTGCATCCCAAGATGACGTCACAGAGCGTGGTGGGGTTGGGGGTTGTAATCTAACAGCACTTGCTCTCAGAGGCTGGCTTCCCAGGCCTGTCAGGAAGACAGCTGGATGCCAGCAGTCTTGTCAGCCAGGTGAGGATGCCATGAAGTCTTTCAAGAAGCTCCCTTTCATGTATTCCCAACTCTTCTGAAGAATCTCGTTATGTATCTGAGCATTTGCCAGGTACAAATCACTGGCAACAACTACGGAATATTTCTGAGAAATCAAACGTTGATTTTTCAGGCACATAATTCCTGCTAGCAGGTCCAGCCTGCATGCGTACCTAAGGCTTATTCCTGCAAAACTAATAATGCTGGAATTCTGATACTATTTTTAATATTATTTTAGTATTATTATAAATATTAATATTTAATATTTTCAGCTGTCTCCAAATGAGGTAAACATTCTGGTATATTGATTTCTTAAAAGTATGGTATTTGTGCTTAACTTGGACAGCCATGCTACATGGAAAAAGTATTCATATGGAATATAAAATATTAAGTTATTTCAAACATATGCACACATGTACGTGCATGTGTTTATATCATCTTCAGCAATTCGTTACATAGTTTCAGCTAACAAGCTATGCTTTATATATTTTGTATTGCAGGCATAATATATTTTACATTATAGCTATTCAGTAAATGTATTGAGTAAATGTAAGTTACGCTAACAAATGGAATAAGAATATATACTTTGCATACTTCTTGCATGACTGGTTTTTCTTATTCAGGTTGCAGAAGTACTTGAAAACTTGTTGCATATAGGTTGATATCTGAAAGTGCTCAAGTGGGTGAAGGAAGAAGATGTCAAGTTGTTCTAACTCTTATGAAATACCTTTTACAGGACTTGATCCCTGCACTTTAGTTTATTAAGATCTCCTTTCTTAAAATGTTTATTCCCTTGACAGATTCTGAGACGATCTGTTTTCCACACATGCTCATGCAATGTGTATGTGTAGTCACACACACATTTATTTATATATAATTTTATCTGTTTTGAAATGTAAAATAATAAAAAAGTGATGATCATAATAAATAAGAAACAAACAAAAAAAATCTGGTATCTCCTAGGCACATTTTTTTCCTTGTTTAGTTTTACTTGTGTCCAAATAAACAATAACCAATCAACAGGAGCACAGGAGTGGTTGAATGTAGGACTGTGATGAGTGTAGACTATAAAGGCCTAAAAAGAAATAGTATATATATATTTCCATCTTATATAAATAATGGAACAGTCCACTTAGTTTAATGTTCTAAATCTACAAATTAGATTTATGCTTGGCTAATGTCAAGTTAAAATTTTAAAGCAATCATTTTATTAAAACTTTTTGAATTATTTACTATCTCCAATTGATTTGCCTCTTAAAATGTGTAGATAGTGAGCGATTTAGCTAGTGACAGAAGCCTAGAGGTATTTTACGCTGTTCTATATCCTGTTAAGAGTAGCTTAATCTCCATAATGAAATAGTGTAAATTATTAAATTCTTGTGCACATTGCTCATTCCTGGAAAGCAAAATTTATTCTACAATATTTTTGACTTCTACAATTGCCAATTACCACAAATGATATGCACCAGAATAGGAAGTTGCGAATATAAACGTAAGATTTTGAAAAAGTATTGGTTTCAAATTAATCTAAATTTTAAAAAATTGCTAGATGAAACTGCAAAGTACAAGGTAAAGTTTTAATAACAGTCCTTCAAGTTTTCAGCCATTGCTTAATTTCATTCACATGTTTTTGGAACTATATAACAATTCTTTTGTCAACTTTCTCGTTCATTTTTATTTGAAGCGGCATTAGAATAGAATCATTGAAAATAAATATCTGTTCATTGATTCATATCATTTGAAAACTGTGGTTTGTATAGAGCTTATTGAACAAAAATAGAACAATTTCTTGAAGAAAGTAACAATATAAAGGCAATTTTTTATTCATTAGACTACTGATCATTTGAATATTGATTAAATAAAAATGCCACTGGATGAATATATTCAAATATGTATATTAAATGAAGAGACTAAGATATACCTATTGTCCTCCTAAAAGAAATTATTGTTTTTCTTATCCTTATATTTGTATTATATAAGTATACTTAAGCTTATAATATTGCATGCTATCAATTTAATTTCATAAACCATAATATTTTCTTTTTAATAAAAGCTTATCCTTTAAACGGTTTCATCTCAAAACACTGGCAAAATCTCTTAGTACAGTGAGTATATTCTGAAAAAGTGAATATATTTTGATTTCCTTGAAAATCAGCTGGAGAAGACACACTGCAGTGAATGTCACTTTTGTCGTTCAAGCTTCATTGTATATGTATGCGCATTTGCTGCCCCGACATTAAAGATAAGGTATTTCTGTTGTGAGGTATAAAATATACACTAAAAACCAAAGACGGATGGTAGTATTAAATTGTATTAAGTAAGGGTCTTTCAGCTATCTTTAAATGAGATTTCATACACTACTTACAAGTTCTAGCTTCCAAATGAAGGAAAGTTATAAAAGAAAATACTCGAGGCTGTTGAGAAACCCATGTGCTTTATTTGTTTCCAAAGCAAGACCAAATTGAGTGAAGAGGACGGAGCCACAGATCAGGACTTTATTGCTCACTCTTTTCCTCAAGAAATTTAGTGAAGAGTGTGTATTAAGGACTTTCAATCAAAATGTGTATTCTACCAAAGTAGAATATCATGGATATTCTAAAGAAAAAGGAAATTAACAACAGACTGGAATGTACTGTAACATATATGCTCATTATTGTTAAATTACTGAGTAATTTTCTGTAGTGTTGAGATGTATAGAATGACTGTTTTGAGTGAATGTAACTACTTTTTGGATTTTAAAAAAGTGAAATTCCTCTGAAAATAACAGTGTGACTAGAGATTAATCTAAAGCTATATGAGAGACAAGGTAACTATTGATAAGAGAGGAAACAAGGGAGCCATTTGCCATATTCACACAGGGAGATTTTAAAGGTTGTCCGAAGGAATTTATAAGTGAATGGACAAGAATGTTA